TAACACCACAGGACTAAGGTATCTTTTCCTTGCAAATCAGTTGCTAAATTGGCTGTGCTGATGGGTTTGGGCACCGGCTCTCGCACAGCGACTGCAGCAGGCACAGGAAGTTATTTTGTTTTATACCAGCAAATAACGTTTCTTCTTCTTAATGTTCCTGGTTGAGCAGAAAGGCCCTGTATAAATTATTTCCCTAAGTCATTCTTGCCAACCGAGAAATAACCTAGAAATTGCATTTGAATTGCTGTGACACGCAATTATTTTTTTCTTTAAAAGTGAAGTCCAAACAGTGCATCACAAACGGCACAATTTCCCCACTTACAGGGCCTTTAGGGGGGAATTTTCATATAAAAATTATATTAGGAGAATCTCACTGGGTTGTTGACGACATGAAGTTAAAGGCGACTTTAAATGCAGTGTGGCACGTAGCAAACAAGAAGGATGGGATTCCTCATCAGCCCCTGGACGTCCACGGGGCCGCCGGCGGCGAGGGGGGAACTGAGATGGACTCGGTGCAACACGTGTAAGTAACTGGATATAAACACAAAGAAAGAAACATTTAAAAATGGGGTTTCGGTAGGGGAGTGAACTTGCCCATCAGAGTTTCTCCAGCAGAAGTGGAAACTGCCCATCATGTGTTATGTTTTTATGAAACTTGGATGCAATTTAAAGCAATACAGAAGCAGCAATGGTAGAAGCATGCTTCCACCCTCCACTCCCCCCTTAAGTTTTAATTTACGAACAAAATAACTTGATTTCCCAAATGTTTACAGCGCCTAAAAATATAATTCTAAAACAACAAACAAACAAACAAAAATAATATTTTGTTAATTCACTGGAGTTCCTAATTGCAGCCCTGACTTTATCGATGCAATTGGAGCCCTTAACTTCTACAGCAGTTTCTGTGCTCCAGAACAGATTAGGAGAAAATTGCAGCCATAATCTGTATAGTGCAATTGCCATGCTATAAAGAGGAATGGGAGTAGCTGGGAAGAGCAATTGGATTCCCAAAGGTGGAGCACAGTAGAGCAATATCAGTGACTTTGTAAATGAAAAATTGTTTTAATTCCCTTCTAACAGCAATAATTCGATTCTTCATAAATTTTTCCATCAAAGTGTTGTAAGAAAAAATGCTATAAAATAGAGCTGCATGGCAGTGATGGAAGATGGTTGAACAAAGCGGTCAATTAGGGGCTGAAAATTAAGCAAAGAAGAGAATCCGCTCTGTCACATTCTGCTCGAAGCAAAGAACTCCTCCGCACTTTGCATTTCCCGTTTCCCGGGTTGTTCAGGCAGACACAGGCCGGCTCGTGCCGTCGTTGCCCTCGGCCTCGCGCCCGTCCCGGCAGGGTCCGCGCGGAGCCTCCCCGGGCGGCCGCGTCCTCGGGAAGCTGGGAAACACCCGGGACCTCGAGGCACAACGGGGTTGGCTTGGGCCCTGCTCTGCGTGTTCCATTTCTTACAGAAACTTTTGATTTTTGTGCGTGTTTTATTAACACGCTGTGGAAGAGAATTAGCTGGCTTTTACTGAAGTTTCAGCTATAAAATTGGCTTTAATAAAGTATGTAATTTTTTTTTCTGCAGGGAAAATATTTAAAATGAATTGTTTCTTATTTTAGGGTTTCTTCTTTTTGAAAACCATAAAATTATAATATTTCTGTTTCGCTTTGGTGCACTTGAGATGTTTTGAATGTTCAGAATTTAGTGTAACCAGGCAACAGTTTTTCTTTTTTATATGCACCCATGAGCTGTAAAACACTGCAAAAATCCTGTACTGGAAAAAAAAAACCCAAACCCAAAAAAACAAAAACATGCACAGTGTTTTATCCATTCTGTGCCATCTAAAGAACATGGAAGTTTCAAAATTTCTCCTGAAGAACAAGTAACAGATGTCATTTGTTAGTAATAATTTCTTTTCCTAATAAAACTCAGTTGTGTGAAAAGCATGATATATTTTACCTCAGTAATGCTCTGTACTGGGCAAGCGCCGAGCGGGCTGCCTGCGGGACACGCGGGCATGAGAGGGACATTATGTACAGGACAGTGACAGGAAGGAAAGTGTCAGACCTCAGATTGCTCACGAGATTTACCAGAGCTGGTGCCACCATCTCTGCATATCGCACACGTACAGGAAAACCAGGTATTTACTGTGGTTTCTTGCAGCACCAAATGTCAGAATTGCACAGAAGAGAGCACAAAAACATCACTGAGATTAGACAGCAGCATCTGTCCTCCAGCGTATATCAAGCATGGCTTAATAACCTCCTATTTACTGATTCGCTGCAGAAGTCCAGTAAATAAAGAAATTGACTGAATTGGTCTATTTTTATACCTCTGTCCTGTGTTAACAAACCTCTTGAACCACACTTAATATGAACAGCAAATTTCACACTGCACATCGAGATCTCTCAGCACAGATTAAATTAGTTATAATAAAACAATTAGAATCTATCTGCCTGCAAACAGGAGGAAATGAAGGACGTGGGCAAGCAGCAGAGGTAAGGGCGGTTGTCAGGACCTTGTCGAGTAAACAGCAGAGCAGCGGTTCTCTGGAGCAGCGCAGGGTCAAGCTTGCAGCAAGATAACTGCGCTGGAGATAATAAATCAGTAGTACGTATTAAACACCAGATGGTTGTGCCCATGCAGGAAGGCACGACGGATCATGTAGCTGTGGTTGTGTTTGCAAGGATTACTGATGCAGCCTGACTTCACAGGGATATCCTAACAAATAAAATCTTTATGGCCTTTTCCGCTAGCGAACGTTTTCATCTACTGTTTAAAGACAGGACCACATGTCTTAGTGATTTCATTGTCTCTAAAATATATGCAAAAATAATTTGGTAAGCTCACCCGTTTTTAAGTGGTGCATATTTTTTGCTCCCTAGTACTGTAACGTTGCTTTGCAGGGATCGTTACAAATACTCAAATGAACAAAGCAGCCCATTGTTCCAAGCTCAGCTGAATCCCCTAAGTGTTTAAGGCATAGAGGCAAACACACTTAAAAAATCCTAAACCTATTGAGTTGTCTTTCAGAATTGTCCAGGCAACAGAATTTATTTATAAAACTCTTGCAATCATTGATTCAAAACAAGGTTTTCTTGTTCTGCTTTTCTCCTTTGTCCTCTTTGAACAATTTTCTTTGGAATGTTTTCGTTGTGCTTAGGAGTCAGAGATTTCCCGGGGCTTCTAATAAAGGCATTTGATTTCCACTCTCTGCATACTTTAACAAGTCCAAGGATTTTGAGGCTTGACATTAACTTAAGAGAGCTGGAGATAATCAGCCATGGGGCCAAAAAGGCAGAGTTATGCAAATTATTTGTAAAATGTATAGAAAGCAAAACAAAATGTTTCTTTAAATGTGGTTGGTGTGAGACAGAGTCTTTGTCTCAGCACAGAATATCTGCATGCTCCCCTTCAAATTTATTGCTTTGATTGAAACCTGCAAAGGGGTGATCTGTAAAGTATTCCTGCTATCCTACACTTCTCAACAGGTTTATTACCATTCGTTTATAAAATGAACAGTCTAATGAGCAGTGGTTTAGATCACAGATATCAAAGTCTGGTCATTTGTCAAGATTAGTTTCCTGTTGTGAGATTGCCTTGTGCAAAAAAAGTGCATAACCCTGGGTTACTCTCTGGAAGCTGAAAAAGAGACAATAAACACTTTATAAGATACGTTTAATGAAGATTTCATAATCTGAGAATTAGACCCCACTTAGCACTGTCAGTGTGTGGTGTAAGTGCATGTTGTAGTGCTGTGAGTATCTGAGTGTGGATTATGGCATTTTGTTGTGTTAACAAAGGACAAATTAACAATAAGACGTTTGTGCGGTATCATCAGAAATACAGCTGCTAACTTGAACAAGTTAACACTGCATTGATAGCAATGTAGTTCTTTATAGCTAAAAGACTGCCTTTGATAGCGTTGCTAGGAAAGCATCATCTTTCTGGCTGTATTCAATTGCCAAAAAATTACACTTTTTATTTTGAGGAAAAAGACACTTGATAAAGCAGTATGCGCAGAAGATGCTGCTGAGGTAAACACTGCCCTCCCCAGCACCAGCTTGAGGAGAAAGAAGGTAGTCTGTTCCTTGTGTCAGTTGAAGAAATTGTGTTCCTGGTCCCAACTGAAAAAACTGAAGAAATGTGAAAGCGGGGAAGCTGTGTGCTTTCCTCTGTTAACCATAGTGCATTTGTGCTTTGACTTTCCTGGTGGATGGCAGATTTTGTGGTTGGCTTGGGGACAGTTTTGCCTGGGAGAAGATGGGGACAGCAGTGGTCTCGGCTAATGCGATGCCCCCGGTCTGTGTCCCTGTCCATGAGGGGTCCGGCCCGCTCTTCTCAGAGCCTCCCGTGTACCCGTGTGCCGCAGACCTGGCCCTGGCCCTGGCCCCGTTTCCAGGCAAACCGCCCTTGTCCTCGCTGCAGCGAGGCCGGAGGAGCTGCCAGTCCAGGCCCTGCTGGCACCAGCGGCGGCTCCTGCCCGGCTGCTCCCCCTGCCCGGCTGGGAAGGAGCTGGCAGCGCTGGAGAGGCGGATATCCCGCACCGGATTTGCTGATCTTCAGCTTCTCCGAGTGTGCTCCATCATAACAGCGCTCCTCAGGCAAAAGATGCAGGCTTAATTAAGCTCGTTCAAATAGGTTGAAGCAGTTAAATAGAAACAACATTTCAAAGTGGTTAAAATGCTTGCTCTTTTCTTCCCCTTGGTGCTTTAATCCTATCAGATATGTTATTATGTATACATAAAAATATTTGCTGCGTTGGAATTTTCTAGCTAAAGCATTGTAATATTTTTGTGAACTTTGCAAGTTGTAGTATAAAGAACACATTTTCCTTTCTCTTAAAGTTTGCAAAGAAAAAAATTAAAAGAAAAAGTAGACAAATGCAGTAGACAGCAGGAAATAAAATGTTGTCTTTCCCTGTGGTGACTGTGAGTGCCCAAAAGCCTCATCTTGTTTGATGGCCTGTGTGCCAGGAGCAGCAGCTCTGGTGTGCGGGGATGGTGCAAGACGTGTCCCAGCCACCGGGTAACAGTGCAGATCACTGCTATTAGGTCAAAGGTACAGGCAGAAAAAAACAGGCTCTTGGGCATTTGGCCTTTCCTTATATTCCGTATGCAAACGGAGGTCTTTCCCTCCTGCTGCCCACGACGCCACAGCCCTCCCGGCACGCGGTGGCCGCCATCTTGCTGCTCCTGCTCGGCAGACAAAATGGTGCCTCTGGGGACATGGCACCACAGGCTGTGCGCTCCCAAACAGGCCGTGTCGGCCTTTTCTCTAAAAGCGACTGTTCTGAGCACAAAATGTCAGAGAACCTCATCCTAAAGGCACAGCAGTGCAGCCGGGTTCACTGTGTTGCAGAAATGTAAATACTAATGCACCTTGCACTTTGATGTATTGTCATAAGAGACTCAGAATTTCAAATCACCAAGCCCATTTGTGATGCGGGGATATATCTTCACTGTTCATCTTTACTTGGAACAGCTCCTCTTGCAACCTCGCTTAGGGAGATTCCCCATTGCCATTAGAAAAGCAAAATAAAATTAACCTGCATCGTTCAAACTTTATCTTAGAAAATTAATGATAGATGAAAGAGGGGTTTGTGAAGGTTTAATAAGAGCTAGTCTGGATTACAGCACGTATTCGAGAGCCCGTGATTATAGTGGTAATTTGGCTGATTGTATCACAGCCTATTTCTGCCAAAGGATGTTTCACACCATTTAAAATGCACTGTGCTGTCTTCGGGGACAGGTTGTTCTGGAATAACCCACCATCCACAGAAAAGCCCTCTTATCCACTCCCCTCACTGTGTGCGTCATCCCCTCCTCGGCATGAGCGCCGGTTCACTGCTCATCCCTGCACCTCCCTGGAGACAGAAGGTGCTGGGACAGCGAGTCATGATATCAGCTCAGGGTGGCTTGTAAGAGATGGTATCAGAGCACTTGATTAAAAAAAAAAGAAAAAAAAAATTGTGACTCATCCTTTCCTCTGAAATGTGAATTAATATTAATTTGAACAACATTGTCCAGGTTGAGAGCTGCTTTTTATTCCTCTTTTTGAAGGGGAACAAAGCAGTGAGGTACAGAAAAACTTGGTGCTGCTCACGGTTGAGGCAGAGGTGGCTTGGGACTGTGAGGGTCTGGGACTCGGGTGACTCGCGTGCTTGGATGTCACCAAGACTCTGGGCGCAAGTCTCCAGTGTGCTAGTGTGTGTGTCGGTGGTGAAATTGAACAGTTTATTGTGTTTAAAAACAGGTGGTGGATGATCTGATGTTGTCTCTGACTTCCTCTTGCAGGCTGTTTGCTGCCAAGTGCAGCGGCTGCATGGAGAAAATCGCCCCGACAGAGTTTGTGATGAGAGCCCTGGAGTGTGTCTACCACCTGAGCTGCTTCTGCTGCTGCGTCTGTGAGCGGCAGCTAAGGAAAGGGGACGAGTTTGTTCTTAAGGAAGGACAGTTGCTCTGCAAAAGTGATTATGAGAAAGAGAAAGATTTGTTGAGCTCGGTCAGCCCGGATGACTCAGACTCAGGTGAGCTTCTCCCACATCTCTCCCAACTAGAAAAGCCACAAGGGCTTGCAGAGCTTTTGGCAGAAAGCATTCCCATTTGCACACCGTCTGCCTGCATGCACACCCCGCTGGGGCAGATTGCAGCTCCTAGCAGGCACAGTAAAACCCCTGCTTCACTCTCCTCCATAACCTTTCTCCCTTCCTTAGTTTGCCGCTGTCTTGGTAAAGGACAAAAGCTTTTAACAAGCTGTCGAGATTATGGTTTTCTATAAAATTATAGGGAGTGAGTCTGACTGATTTCTGTTAGCTGGATCAGATCAAAGCATGCTGTCTCCTTTAGGCATCAAAAGTGCGTTGTCATCCATAAGCATCCTCCCATCCACTCTGGTATTTTTTTGCTTCTAGTCCAGGCATCTGCACTTTGAGCAGTGAGATAGGAAAATGGCAAAGCGGCAGTATGGTCTTCTAGGTGCATGTCTCTATGCCAATCACAAATGATAACTCTAAGAAAAGCTGCAGGCGTGAATTTGAGAGAAAGACACATGGGTTTTGGTTCTTGCCATGGCAAGTGCAGTGCAGAGGGAGCCGCTGGGACACTTGGTGTGGCTCCGCACATGACCCTCCTTTGCCACGTCCTTGCTCCACCTCGCTGGAGCTGGAGACTCGGGGACTAGAGACAGCATGTACAAAGTTAGCTGCCAGCCTCATAATTGCTCCTTATTTCCCTAGAAAATGTCTAAGAAAATCAACAATTACTATTCTACTAAGTGGGCAAATGGCATGAATGTTCACTTCTTGTTTGCAGGAAAATATATTATTCTCAGTTTAACTAGGAATGGTAATTGTTCCTAATCTCTAATCTGAGAACCATGTTCACCATGTTGCTCAAGCTCACATTTTCATGTCAAGAATGCAGCAAGACAAAGGTCGCTGCTCACTCAGCAGGACGCACAGCTCCCGCAGCCCTTCTCAGAGCAGAGCGTTATTTATTGCCATGCTCTGCTTGCAGGACCCCTTTGCTCTCACACCTCATCTTGCAGGCTTTGGGCTCTTTGTGAGTCTGTCTGAGGCGTGCAGCGTCCCTTGTGCCCTGCAGCATACGGCTCTCTGCCCCTCACCGCCGTCCCGAGCCCCAGTCAGTCCATGCCCAAGCTGAGTCCAGCAGCCGCCAGCCCATCCGTGCCCAGGCTGGGTGCAGACACCCCTGGAACGGCGCCGTGTGCCGGGTGGTCTCCGTCCTCGCCCCTGGGCGCCGGCAGCCGCGCGCCCTGCTCCGCGGCCGTGCGGTGCCCTGGGCCCGCTCGGCACCCGTGGGCTCTTTGCCGTGCACGCGCTCCCCCCGCTCCCCGCTGCTGCGTGGGTTTCGGGATCAGCTGCTCTGAAAGCTGCCAGAGCAGCACCAAGTAACACAGGTTTCAGTTTCAGTCTCCCTTGGCATCAGGAGTAGTTTCTTGCTCTTGAAGATACTTTTTTTTTTCTTTTTTTTTTTCTCATTATTCTCTGTCTTAGCCAAACTCAAACCTGAAAAACAAGTTGACAAATTAAATGGGATGTTTTGTCTCCTGTTGTCTAATGCAGTGAAAGCACAGATCTCCCCAAAGCCTGTGTGAGCACAAGCCATTTCACAGCTCTGGTTGAGGATGTGTCCTTTTCCAATCAAATATTTATCCACTGGACACAAAAGTAACTCTCCAATGAGCAATATTAATCCTCACAAACCTTTCCTTAGAAATGGCATGCTGGAAAGTTAATAATGTCATGGTTATTAAAATGACTGAACTTCCCTTTAATCATTATGCAAAAGATGCTTATTAAAGTAAAAGGTGATTAGATTGCTAGGTGCATAATAATCAGACCCTAAAATGAATTAAAAGTCTAATTTGCTAATTCCCCAAATGTAGCCTTTGAGTATACCAAAATTACAGTGTGTTTCTTAATGTTGAAATTCTCCAGAATACTATATTAATGTTTTTTGAAAGAAAAATCAATAGTCTGATGAAATAAAAAGCAATGAGCTGAAAAGTTATTTTTAGGAATTAAATATGCACTTACTTGTCAATCTTTGACAGTGAGATTGAGATTTTCAGTGCAAGGTACTCACACACGTAATATCACCGAATCGTAAGTTATGCAGACCCTAACTCAAAAAATGCAAATAATCTATTTGCTCTACACATGTATATACATATTTGTTTGTATTTATCAAGAAGGAGAAGGCCCTCATGTCTCAGCGGGACATGTATAATTTTATAGCCTGTTTATTTTTCCATAGTTAAAAGTGATGATGAGGATGGGGATGTTAAGCCCACCAAAGGGCAAGTAGCCCAAGGGAAAGGAAGCGATGATGGGAAGGACCCAAGGAGACCTAAGCGACCGAGGACAATCCTCACGACGCAGCAGAGACGAGCGTTCAAAGCGTCCTTCGAAGTGTCTTCCAAGCCCTGTAGGAAGGTAGGTGCTTCCCCAGGCCGGTGGCTCTGACACCGGCCTGGCCTGGGAAAGGGCTAGGCCCCCAGAGATGGAGTTGCACCCTGCACCTATCTCATTGCAAAAAGTGGCATGCACCTGCCCATCTGGAAAGTGTATTTCTTGGGACAATATATTGTGCCTTTCTAAAGTATGAAATTGTATTTGAAAAAATCCAAGGATTTTAAAAATTAATTCTGTCTGTGTGAATTTTATTGTAAATAAAGACATCTTCTTCTGAACATAACTTGTTAGATGCCAGGGTTTTTTTTTTTTAAGTTATATCATTAAACGTTTCCTTCTGTAGGTCAGAGAAACACTAGCAGCTGAAACAGGACTCAGTGTGCGAGTTGTCCAGGTCTGGTTTCAAAACCAAAGAGCAAAGGTAGGTTGTTTGTCAAGTTCTCGAATGTGAAACACAAATCATCCTCCAACACAGAGACTTCCCGTCCCTTCAGATGCAGTGTGTATCACACAGACACCAGGGACTGACCTTCCAAAAACTGGATGCATTTTTGCTCCACTCCTGTGCCTGTTTTACAAGCACTGCTGTCTACATCCACGAGAAGGGCTTTTTTCAAATACAGACATTAAGTTAGTGTGTTCAAAGCAGCATGAGCTTTGGAGTAGATTTTGCATGCAAATATTAACTAGAAACCCAAATGTTTGGGAATAAAACTGAACTGACAGTGATGTGTGCATGAATATACATGGTCTGTATTACCTGGTTAGATGTTTGCAGAGAGTTTTATGAGGAAAGAGAACTGTACCATTAAGACCCATGATATTTTTCTGTTCTTCCTCTTTTATTCAGATGAAAAAACTAGCACGAAGGCATCAGCAGCAGCAGGAGCAGCAAAACTCTCAACGACTAGGACAAGGTAAGACATTTGCAATGCAGGCAACGCCAGGGGAAAGGGATCTGCAAGATTTCTGGCCATGCCATTCTCGTGTGGGTGCACAGCATCTGTGTATGGCCATGTATGGTGTTCGCAAGTCTGGGTATAATTTGTGGCATAATCTGTGGAAGCACACAGGTTCTGTGTCCAATCCCAGCCTGGGTTATCCCAGACCTCTGCCTTGCGGTGGGCCCTGGAGGTCCTAAGGGAGCAGTCGGGTGCCACTGCAGGTGTCCTGCTGCATGGCCGCTCTTGAGGTTCTCCTGCCAAGGCCCTCAGCCTCACGTCATCCTCCCTGCCCAGAGCACAAAAGCTGGCCCGGTCCTTGGTGTCAGCTTGGGGCGTGCGAGCGGGACAGGGGCTGCTCTGTGTCCTGCAGTGCTGCCGCCAAGGACCAGGTGCCACTTGCTCGACGTGGCGTCCTCATCAGCTTAGGAAATGACTGTGCTGGTGCTGCATTGCCAGTGCTAGGTGGCACCGACAGGCCCTGGAGGTAGAAGAGCTTGTGTCTGGGATGAACAGAATTGGGGAAGGTGGGGTCCAGCCCTTTGGAGCTCCAGAAATGATATTATAAGAACTCACAAATTTTTCAGCGTACTGTTGTGGGTTGCGCTCTTGAAGTGGGGTTTGGAGGGCTGCTCTGAGCAACAGGACACCCTGGCTGTGCTCGCTACACTTGCCAGTCCCTAAGAGCCACCACGGCTGCTGTCTGCAGCCTCTTATTGACCAGCAGTGACCGTGCCCTGCTGTTTGCTTTGCAGAAGTGATGTCCAACCGCATGGAAGGGATGATGACATCTTACACGCCACTTGCACCTCCACAGCAGCAGATTGTAGCAATGGATCAAAGCAGTTATGGCACAGACCCGTTTCAGCAGGGTCTTACCCCGCCACAAATGCCGGGCGACCACATGAACCCTTATGGTAAGGCATGCATCATTCTGCCACATCAGAAATAGCAGGATCTGTGTGCTGGTTCACACACCAAGGGCTCAGTAGAGCAACCTGCTTTTTTATTTTGGGGGGGAATATGTTGAATTAGTCAATATTGTGTGTGTGTTTTCATATGCACATAAGTGGGTGGAAGAGAGTTCATCCCAACGTCTGGACACCCTTCTGAATTATTTCACAGTATAAATCTTATAACTGGTACAGCAAGCAACATCAGTGCTCCAGCTCCAGTTTCTAAACTACTGTCCAGGACATCTGAAAATAAACACTACTAGTTTTTCTCTATCTCCCTCACAAGTTTTTCCTTTTTTCCTAGAAGCTTTGGGGGAAAAGTGCCTTGAAAAGTGGTTTAATAAAGAGAAGTAATTTGTTGGTTCCAAAATATCCATCCATCTAATATCCCTCAAATTGGATGCATGGATTTGTTAAAGAGCCATTCTTGAGCTACTGGAGATGTGTCAGCACAGAACATTTCTCCTCTGTGATTTTATAGTCTGCCCAAAATTGAGATGATGATTTGCTTTTAGGATTTCACATCACAAAACATAGAGTGGATAGGTTCCAAGTGCATATCAAACATTAAGTGCCTAATAATTAATTCTGGATAATTGCACTGTGGCATTTAAACTTAATTTAAGAGGATCTCTCAGACCACGATGGTTGGTCCATGATGGTGGGTTACATCAGACCTTTCTGTGGACCAGGAGCACTTCAGTGCAGAGCTGCCTACGTGCATCTCGTTCTCGAGAGCGCCATGCACAGACCAGATGGAGAGCTGGCTTGGTTTGTGCCCGTGCTCATCCTCGGTGCACACCAGGCAGCTTGGTAAGCACTGCGAGGAGCTGAGGCTTCAAGCATATTTCATGAGTAAATCTGAAGCTTGAGTGGGCACTAAATGGCTTGTGATTTTGTTGCAATTTGCTTGGCTTCCTAAGCAAAACTCCTCTGGAGACATGTTCTGTGTTTCAAAACCAGTTCAGATTATAACACAAAGCCATTTTAAATGAATGTATAAATAATGAACCAGAGGGACATTTTCTTAGTGCTCAAATGCTTGAGTGAGAGGTCCTTCCAAGGACTTTAGAGCTGAAGTAAGTTAAATTTTAGTTGCTGAGAGAAATAAAAGGTGCTGCTACAAACCAGCCCCAAAAGTGGAGTTTTCTGAAGTGAAAACTTGTTTCCAGCTAGAGATCCTTTGAGCTCAGGAAACCTGGGCCTCTTCCTGGGTTCCTTCACATTTAGATCCTTCTCTTGCCACCTTTTGTGTAAGTGAAGACCCTTATTTGCTATGGGTCTCGGCCCTATTTGCTGCGGGCCCCAGATCGCCTTCCGCCCCTCGGGCTTTGGAGCAGCTCCCACGTCCGTGGCAGCTCGCGGTCCCGCGGAGCCGCCCGGCGCGCGGAGCAGCAGGGGCTGCCTCGCGTGGCTCAGCCCGGCTCCCCGTTGTGCTGGGGGCCGGGGTGCAAACAAGTATCGGCGCGTTCCCACCAGCGGCACTGCTGCCGTGGGGCCGCGCTCGCTCGGCCGCCCCCGCCGTGGCGCGATGTGAGCATGCAAAAGCAGCAGCAAGAGGCATCCCCTTGCTGCGGTGCGGCGGGTCAGCGTCCCATGTACTGTGTCCTTCTCCCTGCGCAGACTCCGTCTTAACGTGTGCGTTTCATTTGCAGGAAACGACTCCATTTTTCATGATATCGACAGTGATACCTCTTTAACTAGCTTGAGCGACTGTTTTCTTGCCTCTTCTGAAGTTAACTCCATGCAGGCTAGAGTAGGAAACCCCATTGACAGGCTGTACTCTATGCAGAGCTCCTATTTCGCCTCATGAAAATAAAAGAAAACAAACAGTCGGCGCATATTTAGCCCGTGACTTTTTCCAGTGCAGACTCTACAGCCATATGTTGCCCAGCTCTTCCTTCACAGTGACTCCTGCTGCCTCTGGACTGCAAAGAGCATTTTTAGGAAGATGATGTTTGTATATATGTGTGTGTGAGTGTGTGTGTGTGTGTGTATGCATACACACATTATATATAAATGCATACACACACGCACACACACATATATATATAAAACAAACAAAAAACATCCTGCAGTCCCTTCCCCTTGATTACGCAGCTTGCACCAGACCAAGAGACAAGCATGGAAGGAATAGAAGATCCTGCTCTTCAGCTGCCTTTGGTTTGGTTTGAGCTCATCATTATAAAGAAATGGATTTTGCAGAAAGTTAGACCTTTTCCTCCTTTCTCTAGTCCTTTCTTTTGGATGTTTAAACTTTTTTTTTTTACTTTTTTTTTTTAAAGCCACTGATACTGACATCAGTCGACCATATGACAAATAAATCAAAGAAACTGGAGATTCCTCCCTTTTCTTACTGCATGATTCATACTATGTCGTGGACAAATTGCCATTTGAACTGTGAGAAGTTAATGTAAATGTGACGTTCAACATTTGTTTCCTTTCTACACTTTTTTCTACATAACCTAGATCTGCTCATTAGTTTATAGTCCTTACACATATGATACTGAGGAAACTGGTTGACAGTGACATTTGTGGAGAAAGCCAGTGATTTCGTGATAGGAAAGGTCTATGACCCTGGAGAGGTGATGCATGCTAGGGGCAGAGGCTTTTAGGTTAGTATTGATCTCAAATAATTAAAACTAAAGGTGCTTACAAGACAGAGTTTTATTTAATTTTTGAAGTGTGAGAATAAAACATTTACTTTTGTTTGTACGTATTTCAGTGCCAAGCTTCAAGTCTAGACTATGATTGGCAAAAGTGTTGTTCATTCTGTTCTGTTTATTTATGTTTTGCATGAGGCATAAATGTACTATGTTCCATTGTCCATCTGGAATAATTAAGCACTCCTTTAGTTAATTATCTTGCCTCGGCAGGAATCTTGGTATACAGCTCTAGCCTCAGCCATCACAAGTCCTGAAATGTGCTCGAATTGGGAAAAAAGTATGGGGGAAATCTCAGTGGGAGATTTAGATTTGTTGAGCTGGAGTCTAATCTAAGTTCTGCAGCTTTCACACTGAAGGGACGCCTGCATTTACGGTAAATACTCCAACTAACCTATTAGCAGTGCAACTGAAAGAGGAACAAGTTTGCTAGTCCACTAAATGAAGGCAACGTCCCAGCTGAAGGCTGAACATTTCAGATGCTGAAGCTTGAGAACATATCATATAGGTTTCATAGGGCACAAAATATCATGAATAATAATAATGTAGTTATAAATATTGCCTGGTGATAATTATAATGTGGAGAGGCAGACAAGTATGGTCATGGCTCTTAGTAGAGAAAACTTTGTGGGCAAAATTTGCCAGGGTAATATCAGTAATTATAGGGTGTGTTCAAAATAGAGCTCATGGGGAAAGATTGGCAGGATAGGCCCTTTCTTAAATAAATGCCTTTAATATATTGACTATAATAGCCAAAAACAGGTTTGAAACGTTGGTTAGCTGAATCCTGCGGGCTGACCGTGGCCGGCGTCAGGGCTGCGGCGCGCGGGGGCTCGGGGCAGCGCCAGGCCCCAGCACGTGGCCCGGGGAGCCCCGGCAGAGCCCTGTGTCCTGGCGGAGCGGGGGCTGCCGGGAATGTCAGCTCCGAGGGGGAAATGCACCATGTTCCTGCCCAGGATGGACATGTGGACCTAGATTTTTAGCGACTGCTTCAGAAGTCAGACTTCACCTGCAAGATAGCCCGTGTGTTTTGGCTGTGTGACGCGAGGAAGCGCTAGGGAGGAGCGAGGGCTGCACGTGCAGCCGCGGGCACGCAGCGCTCCAGGGAAAACCCTCCTGCAGCCGCACGGTGACGGAGCGACGCTCCCCTCAGCGCAGGGCCTCTGTGCACAAGGAGCCCGCGTCCCTGTGCAGGTCCGGGCAGCTCTCCCCTCCTCGGGCTGCCGCAGGCCCCTGGCCCCTCCGTTGCACCCGTAGGCTTTTGCAATGACCTTGTCCTCCTGTGGCTTTTCCAGGTGAAGGCTGTGAGCCCCTGGACATGTTCTGCAATCGGAATAATTTTCTTTTCTTACTGACTGCTCCTCCCCCGCCGTTAGTTTTCCCTCCTCTTGTGTTCCCAAATAAATGCTAGTTTCCCTCTGCACAATAACAAATCTCTACAAAGAACTCAGGTGAGCTGTACTGCGTGCAGGGCAGGCAGCGTGCACATTTTATATGGCACATTATAAACATTTCCAGCATCAATCTCAAGGGATTCACCTAGTCCCCTCCCGTTTTCCCCGCGCTGCTTTAGAGTCACAGAACAGCATCATCTTCACCATCTCAGACATGCCAGGTCTGCAGAGTCGCAGCCTCACCTCCCTCCCCGCTGCTGGCAGGCCCCACATGGCCTCCTCAGTGCACACAGGTGCTTATGAGAGACCTGTAATGTGACCCCCTTTGGAGGACTGCCTTGTCCCAACTCTACCTCTTTCTAAGGAAAGGATCAGATGCCCCTTTTTGTAGCTGAAGTAGCCATGATTCGTTGCTCTTTGGATGGTTATTTGCCATCTTTTTTTTCTTGTATCCCAGTGTACTTGTACATACCATCGCCTCCCCCCATGGTGTGTTGTAGGATGCTGCCTTAGCTATTTGTCCCCATATTCTGCTGGCGTCGGTGCCACATGCACTGCGCATCGAGCCCTCTGGTAACGCAGAATGATTCCTGTGCCACTCGGGCGGCTGCTGGCTGAGGGGAGGAATGCATGGCCAGTGACCTCCAGCAGGCCAGTGATATCTGGCAAAGGCCAAAGTTCATTAAAGTAAAATAAATGTCACTTTTCTTTGTTGAATGAATTATCCCACTGGAGTGTGATCATTGTGGTTTTAACCTGGGACCTGCAGTAAAAGATTATATAGCAACCTCTGACCTTTTTGATTTCTGCTTTACTCTTCTATTGTCAGGGGAAATGTCACCAATCAGGTGAAAGTAAAATGTTTAATGGGCCATATCACAGTAATATCTTATACTGAGTCAAATTGATATACTGTTGCCAAAAATTCTTAGCATCTGGCACTTCCACAGAAACCACAAACAATGATTGCACATATGGGAGCTTGGAGGCTAGAGGTCATGACAGCAGTTTATTACATGCACCTTACAGTGATCATTTTCCCTAGGAAATTAACCCCATTCTAATATAAATGCATCAAGTGAGCTCTTCACAGTGTTTCAATCATCTTGTTTTGTCTAAGCAACAAATACACGTTAAGCTAAAGTGGTGACAAGATGCAATTAAGTAAAAGATGATTGATTGGGTTTCAGTGTTTGCTCAATAATGTTCAAAAAAGATGATTGTGAGTTCAGTGTGAATATGCTAAGCAGCAGCTTCCTTGGCGGGCTTCCTCGTGCAATTAGCAGGTGCGTTTGCAGCCACCATGGAGGCCTGTGGAGATGGTCGCTGCGGAGAGCGGTCCCGCCAGCGGCCCGGCTCCACTGGGTAGGAGCGCGTCTCCACGGCACGCCAGGCGGGCATGGAACGGACCCCGGCACTGCCCTCCCCGGACCAGGTTCACCACGGCAGCGGGGGCAAGACCTGTACTCTAAACAGCCAGGTGGGTGTTCAGATAATGTGGGGAGGATAATTATGTTGCTGTAAGTAGAATATGCGGTTGCCCTTGCCAAGCTTTAAACATCATCCTGGGACGTGTGATCTTGTTTTCTTCTTTAACTGCTGTCGTCAAAGACGTGATGGCTGCCAGCATGCCAAGATGGCCGGCTGTGGCCTTGGGCCCGCTGCATGGCCATGCA